CAAGTCCCCCCACTCCTCCCCATCCCAATGCACTCATACCTCCCTCTGATCCAGGTCCCCCTAGTGTCCCCTCAACCCAATGCACTCACTCCTACCTCTGAACCAGGCATCCCCAGCACCGGGAGTGCCCTGCCTCAATCAAATGCCTCTCCCCCCTCCACAAAGCCAGTCACCGGAGGAACGGGACAGCTGGGTAAGTTAATCTTACTTTTAAAGTCGCCGTTCCTGCCGCCCAGCCCAGCTGCCTCGGCTCACATTGTGTAGAGGGAGGCATCATGTCCCGGGTCTCTGCTGGTCACGTGGGCCACAGCACCATGTGCTCCGCTCCCACCCCACCCCGGCGCCCCCCTAGTGTGGCACCCGGCAAGTGCCCTCTTCTGCCCCCCCTTCACTATGCCTCTGCTGTGCTCCTCACTCCCCCACCCCCACCAGATGCTGCAGGGGGAAATTGTCCTTGCCGGGCTTCCGTCTGAGGGAAACAGGAAAAACCGGACATTTCACATGTCCGGTATTTCCTGTTTTTTTTTTTTACTGGACAGAGCCTGCAATTACCAGACTGTCTGGATGAATACTGGACACCTGGCAACCCTATCTGGAGGGGCCCTGTGGGAGGTGGGGGGAGCGGGAGAGGTGTGTCTAATTGAGAAAGCAGCCCTCACATTGGAACATCGAGTAGCCTGAGCTGGACACATAGGAAGGACCCCCAAACTCCGCTGTGGGCTGGCCAAAAGAGACTGTTACTTTTGGAGCCCAGCTCTGGGACCAGCAGCTGTTCCTTTCCTCCAGGGCTGTCCTCCCAGCTCACTCACGTAACACGCCCAGGAAAACAGCTGTTGGAAGAGGCTGGTCTGAAAAGATATTGCCCGTGTGCACACGCCGCCCTCCCAGAACTGACACACTAAGCTGGGGTAGGCTCCTCTCCATGTTCTCCTGGTGCCAATCACTAGCTTTGTCTTGGACAAGTCAAATTCTCCAGTCCCGTTAATTACAAATATGGACGCCCAGGGCCAGATCCTTGGCCCTGCTGCAGCCTGTTTGTGCCACTCCTGCAGTGTAAAGGGGATGGAAATTCCCCCACAGCAAGGCTTGCACAGGGTTTGTGCAGGCAGCCTCCATCACCCAGCTGTGCCAAATGCCACAGGGGCCACTCCTCTGCCTGGAACATCCCCAAACGTGGCACCAGTCCTGCTGAGCAGCACAGCACAGACTTTGGTCACTGTTGCCTCCGGGTCAGGACAGTGCTGCATGAAAGCATCTTAAACCACTAGCTGCCGTGGCCTGGGGAAGATCTCCCTATGGCTCCTTCCCAGCCAGGACCTAAGGTGTCACCAGAGACCAGGCTTGTTCCGAATCCCACACCCTGGGGATGGCTGTGCTGACGCTCCAGCAGTTGCAAGGCCTGCCCCTGGGTACCTGGTAGCTGTACAGAACAGCGATGTTAATCTCCACCAGTGCCTGGTCCTTCCACAGCGAGGAGGTTTTCCGCATGTCCAGATTCATCTTTTTGGCTACTTCCTGCAAAGACACAGTAATGGGTGAGTGTAGACTGAATACTGGCTGCAAAGCTGGAGAGTGAGCTAAGGGAGGGTCAGCCCCTGACTGAGAACCTCTGTAAATGGAGGCAAGTCTGCTGGGTACAAGTCTGAGGAAATGGTCTGCCTGTTTCATTGCAGCTCATTGCGGAGGCCTGGCTACCTCCTGTACTATCAGGGCTTGGCTGTGCCCAGCCTTGCACAGGGGCCATGGGAATTCCTCATGGGGAGGAAAGGTGTGATGCCCGCAGGCCAGGTGCCAGCTCATGCCCACGTCCTCATGCCTCACTTGGATACTGACAAACAGAGTGGGCTCACCTATGCGCTAGTAGTGTTAAAACAGGCATTCATTACAAAACTGGGCCTAGTGTTTAGGTTATTATGGCATAACTGTGAGTTGCTGCAGTACGCTCACTTGCAATATTAATATTTCATAGTACAAAGCTGTGGAGTCCAACATGCTAGCCACTAGCCGCATGTGGCCACTTGGTTCGTTGAGTGTGCCTAGTTGGTTTGAATAATGTGGCTAGTTTGCTATAGCATTTTCAGAATAATGGGGCTAGTCCACTGTACTGCTTCAGAACTGGTTGGATACTAGGGGTATATAAAGCAACATTTGAGCCTTTTGTATTGCAAGCTTCCGTGACTGAAAATCACCAAGTCAGGAGAGAGACACTAACAAACGTACAGTGCTGATCTCCAACAGAGGCATTATGTCCCACCCCACAAGCAAAGCTCATTGACACCAGAGGAACTATTGTGGGACACTGAAGAGGACAAAAGACTTTGCTAATTGCTCTTACCCCACCCTGAAGAGGAGGCATGCTAGTGAATTCCTTTTGTTGGTTGAGTTTTGCAGCTCAAAGAGCAGGGGAGGCAGGAGAATAAGGGAAAAAGAGGCTCTAACAAGAAAGAATTGGATCTTTACGCAGCTGGGACTCTGAAGGACACGGATTGCTAAGCATATGCAAAAGATCCCTGTGATGGGGTAAGATCCCCACACACACACTAGGCCAGAAGGGGTTAACTCCACTCTGAGGGCCAGGGAGGCCACATCTCCGGTAGCCTGCTGGGCATGCTCCCACTGCTCGGGTATTAAAGAGGGCTGCTCAGGGTAGATGGGGCTGACCACTGGAGGAGAAGGAGCTCAGGTAGGAGCTCCTGAGCAGCCCCTGCAACCAGAGCACCAGGAGCAGCAGCAACAACGCCGGGCAAAGGGGTCGCCAGATTGCGAGTGACCACCGGAGCTGCACGCGGAGGACAGCGTGGTGCACCGGTGGGGTAGGAAGTGGCCCAGGGCAGAAGATTGGGGTCTGGGAGCCCGGCTATTCCAGCCGTAATACCCTCTGAGCT